ATAAACCATGGCAGGAGCAGGAAGGCAAGGAGGAAAAATGGAGGCATAGAAAGAGTTGGATTAAGAGAAAGGGGAGCAGCAAAAAGTGAGCAGGGAGGGTAAAAACCCACGGCTTTCCAGCTTATGCAGCAGAGTTGCAGTCAGGCCTGTTGCTGTGCCAAACTTGGTGACGTGTTTCTACAGTTGCGTTTAATTTTAGCTCATGGGATACGACAATGCTCATTTCTACCAGCAAGACTCCAGAGTTTTATTTTCTCACGGTCATGTGCGTCGTTATCGCTGCGAACAGACGTCTTTCAGTGTGCAGAATATGTAGGCAATAATACGTATCTGTTTTCTGGACATCTTCAGGCCCCCAAACCTTTCCCAGTATCATCAGAAGCTAACTCATAACTGGTTTTCCAGATATACTAAATATATATCACGTATACACATAGCTAGATATACAAGTGTCCCCTGTGTTGAACCCTAAGGTCACATTTAGAGACCTTAGGGTTCACTTTGTGTTCTGCACAGTGAGTCTTCCACAAATCCGGGCTTCATCAGAAAGATCAGAACAAAAAAGACTGCCGTACTACAAATCAAATTTGTTGGAACGCAGTGTTTTCAAGTGTGAATGTGACTTTTTAAAAAAAATTTAAATAATTATTATCACAATTTATAAAAATTCAGCTACTGAATGGAATAGCATGGGGTGCACTGATATTTATATGTAGCTTGTCTAGTGTTAGCGCCCACTCAGAGAACATTTGGTAAATGGCCTGTATTTGTATAGCGCTTTTACTAGTCCCCCCTAGGGACCCCAAAGCGCTTTACACACCCAGTCATCCACCCATTCACACACCGGTGGAGGCAGCTACAGTTGTAGCCACAGCTGCCCTGGGGCAGACTGACAGAAGCGCCATCGGCCCCTCACCAGTAGGCGGTAGGTGAAGTGTCTTGCCCAAGGACACAACGACCGAGACCGTCCGAGCCGGGGCTCAAACCGGCAACCTTCCGATTATAAGGCGAACTCCCAACTCTTGAGCCACGATCGCTCCATTTCATGGAAACAAGGGATTTTGTTACCACACAGGTAGGGTTTAGACAGCACCGTACTGATGGACCAGGACAACCCACAAGTAGGTGACATATGTTTGTTATTCATGACAGGATCTTGGTTACAGTGGACCAAGATCCTGATAAGAGAAAAAGCCCAGGTGTATAGAGGGCCAAATCCAGGTGGGAACATCTGTCATGAAGGCTTGTTGGATGAGCTACCATGTACTTACTGCTTCAAGGATGGACAAATAATGAAGTGACAGCACAGTGTTGGCCTGGAAAGACAGTGGCTCCACTTCCAAAATGCTACTGCTAACTGCTTCGACTCTCAGCAAATCTTCCAGGTCTTGGATGCGTAGACCCGGGTCCAACCAAAGCTGGCATCAACTCTCATCAGGTGCTGCAAAAATTCTTCCAATAATTGAAAGATGGAGCCCACATATTCTGTCTTATCTTCATTTTCTTCCTATGAAAAATACCCCAGCTTGTGCTTGTAATGCTAATGTAATGTAATGTAATGCTACAAGGCACAACTGGCTCACAGCGTCACTGACACTGGTGCAAGAGAGGTGGCAGAGTTGCACAACTATGGACAACTGCAGTGTATTGAATGCACCATTGTTAATCTTTCAAGGTTATTGCACATTACTACCTTGTCATTCTGCTTTACCCTGAATTTGGTTCTATTTTCTTGCTCTTGGATGGTCGTGTTGGGTTGTATTGTTGTGCATCTGCCCCAACACAGAGCATTTTAGGGATTTCTCTTTTTCCGAGGGTGGTGGTGGGGGTGACTATCTCTATTAAAGGACACCCAGCAGCAGCTGGCCACGCCTGCTAAATCCTCTTGACAAAACCCACCCACCAGCTCCATCTGCCTCCCAAGTGGAACCCCGTGATGCGCACACACACACACACACACACACACACACACACACACACACACACACACACACACACACACCTTTCTGGTGCTCTTTGATCCCAGAGAGAGCAAAAGCCTACATCTGTTCTTACTACATCAGATCCTTTTAAAACAATGACGCTCTTGTTGGCATACACCGTGTAGCGAGAAGCCATGACACACACACACACACACACACACACACACACACACACACACACACACACACACAGTTACTGTATCTCCTCACCCTTGACCTTGAGGCAGACTGCTTCGGCCCTTCTGCAGAGACAGAGACCAGTAAATGTTTAGTTCGCCACTGCTTACAACAATAATGATCTTGCTCATTTACACTCGTTACGTCCTGAAATAATGAAATTTGCACATCTAATAAAATTCCAAACAGCAGAAATTTTGTTCAGAGGAAAAAATGTTTCTTTAAAATATTCAAAGAAATATTTTTTGTAACTTCAGAACTGTCAGTGTGCATCCTGCAAGGAAAGGTTAGTCTTAGTGTGTGAAGGAAAACTGAGGAACAGTTTGCGTGTAGAGCTGAAGCAATGTCTGAATGTGTATATGTATATATGTATATATGTATATGCTGCTTTGTCCTAAAAAACTTTGTGAATACTGTTTATACATATTTGAACTTTATAAAAAGTTCTTTGTGGATGTCTGCTGAAAGCTTTCACAAATACAGACTCAGTGTTTCGTATCATAGTGATGTTCAGGTTGCATGTGAAAGATAAATATCCCATTTTGGAAGTCTGGTGTCAGACTGGTGCAGACCTGGAACAGATTTAAGCTGGATGCACGGTAAACCCACACAGGTGATTTGAATTACTTTGGCTGATTACACCTTCTCACGGGACTGTGTGGGTGGAAACACAATGTGAGCATCTCGCTCCTCCGTCAGCTGCGCTGCATCTGTTAGGGCGAAAGAAAACAATGCAAAATGTAATATTTCTACTGCCTTGCAGGGAACTTTTGACTGTGTTTTACAGTTCTATAAGTATCCCTCACCGGCAGTGTGAGCCGTGCTTTGCAAAGCTCTAAACGTTTACGATGAAGAGGCTGGCTGGTATTGCTTTGGCTAAAATGGGTGTAGTTGTGCGTCACTTCTGCTGTATCAAATGTCATTGAAGTTGCCCTCCAGAATTTGAAAAACAGATCTGATAATAGTCTCTAATTTGCAGAATACAACATTATACTGTAAAACGACTGCTGCATGTCGAATCAGGTACTTCTGCTGTTTTGAGTGCATATATGTGCTCACATAGCTATTTACTTACAATTCATCTAGTACACTTCATGTTCCACTTATCTGCTGTGCTACCAGAATTATGTGCAGTTAGTGCGTATTATTATGAATGAACGATTATTATATGTGACTCTGTTTCTTGTCCTCAGTTGTTGAACTCTTGGTTTTGTAGTGGAACGGTGAGGAAATGATTTCACGCAGTCGTAGCACCGATGATAATGACGCCACCTGTGAGCTTAGTAGATGTTTTCACTGCTGAAACTAAGAACCAGGGATTAAAAATCCAGAGGTGGTGTTTTACGATATTTTGTATGATACCTACCAAAAAGTAAGCCTCACTTTCAGTGACTTATACTGGTTAAAAATGATTGGATGATCCCGTCTTTGCCACAATGTAGCCATTAGAGTAGCAGCTGGAGGCTGAAAGTGTGCAACGTCACCAATGAAGCTGTTAGAGTAACGTTCATAAACTGTAGGCGTTTCAATCAGGAAAGTCTATCCAGCTCTGTTTTGACTTCAGTGCTGTTTCGTAGCTTTAGAGCCACCCTGCTGCACCCTCACATACTCTGAGTAGTAATCTCTTTGCTACTACAACACTAAATGATCATTTAGCATGGCTGAATCACGGGGCTGTTGCAGAAATCCTGGGACGAAATGTCGTCTTGGCACATTTTACTTGAACCCTTCTAACACTAGTGCCTGAGGATGTGCTTTAATGGCCTCTGTAATGGTTTACTGCCTCTGGACTCCCGCAGTAACTAAACAAAGAGGGTAATGTGATGCTGGCTTGTTTGGAAATACATGTTCGTGAGTCTGTATTTGGATGCATATATACGTGTTTGGCGTCACGAGGAGCAAATAAAATCAGCATTTGAGATTCCTGCCATATACAGGCCTGTTTCCGCTGAGGGCTGCCGAGCAAAGGCCCGGCGAATGACATCCAGAGACGCAGAGAGAGAACATGAGGCAGTAAAGAGGAGAGTTAGGGTGGAAAGGGACCGGAGAGAAGCAATGCATTATTTATCAATCCACATTTCCCTCTTCTTCTTCATCCATTACTCCTCCTCCTCTTTTTCTGCTCACTCCTCCTCTTGTTCCTCTGTGACATTCATCCTCTCCTCCTCTTTCTCCTGTACCGTCTCCACCTCCCAATCCTCTACTCCCTCTTGTTTAACATCATCAAGTCCTTCACTTTTATCTTGTTTTCCCCCTCTTCATCCACTGCTCCCTCTTGGTCATCTCCCTCCTCCTCTTCACCTCCTTCACTCCGCCTTTGGTTTTATCTCAGCTGTCTTCATCTGGCCTGTTGTTGCTGCTATCCAGTTATCAACCTGTGGAAGTCTTTTAATGTGATACGAACTTTGAGAAATGACTCGAATCGAGACCCGTTTCCAAACGAGCTTTGCGCTTGTGTAGCCAGGTCATTCAGGTAACACTTTCCCCTGTGCTCTATAAAAGTTTATGAAAAAAACACCTTGAAATCTGACCTCGAGAAACTTGTTGCTGATCCAGCAGGCTTGTGAGTATGACGTGCCTTAGAGCAGGTTTACCACGTGGTTTACAAGTCAAAAGCATATGAGATGGAGCCCACTCCTGTTTGACATGACCAGCTTCAAAACACCAACACAGCCATGGCAAACACTCAGAGCTTAGAAAATTGTGAAAATATTTGCTATGCTAACAACTTTGGCAACTAGCTGCTGAAAAGCATATAAAACATGTGATATGGTTACTTTTACATTGTCGGCGCTCTGGAGTCCATCGCTAACAGACGTTGTCGTCTCTGTCTCTTTTCAGGTGGCTGTTGTGGAAAAGAAAAGACGAAGAGAGACGCTGACATTGAGGATCCAGAGACACGAAAGAGCCCCAGTTCTCTTTATTTATTACCTTCACGATATGTGTGTGTGTGTGCGCGCGGGTGTGGCTGTGCATCAGGAAGAGGACGAGCATAGAGCATGTGTGCATTCTGATCGGTACCTAAGATTTAAGGCTATCATTTGCAAATTTTGTTTACTTTTTATAAGGTTCCAATAATTCATATATCATTGTCTAAGTATAAACAAAAGGACTTCACTCTTGGTACATATTGTGTTTTGTGTTTGTAACTAGCCTCCTATTTAAGAATGTATATTTGTATGTATGATATACTCATCTAGAAACTATATAATGGACAGTTTTAATATTGCTTCATCTCGTCACCACTATACTGCTCGTGCCATTAAATCCATGCACACGAGCATCTCTGAAACAGAAGTAATGCAGTCCCTTCAAAGAAAACAACGAATGCTAAAGTTTTTCATTTCTGTTTATCTCTCATTTGTGGAATTATAGGAGAAAACCGTGATAATGACGTCATAATAATGACGCTATAATAATGACGTCATAATAATGACGCTATAATAATGACGCTATAATAATGACGCTATAATAATGACGTCATAATAATGACGCTATAATAATGACGTCATAATAATGACGATCTCAGAGGGCTTTCAGGTAGCCTACTCTGGCAGCCATATTGGAGGTCCTCGGTTCTTTTGTAGCTTAAACTGCACCTGCTTTAAAGCTTTAATTTATTAGTTAATGGACTCACAACAAAGTAGCTAACAGCTTCAAACCCCATGTAAATACTAACACTCAAATCTGGTAGGTAATAGTAGATAAGACTCTTTGTCAGATGTTCGTCATGCTGTGTGGGTTCATGTTACAGGCTTACTTTGGTAGTTCTGACCAGGATTTTCATCACTTCTCTGAATATTCATCTCACAGTACTGCAACAGGGTAAAACTGCTTTTACATGAAAGGACACGGTTGAAAGAAGGAGGAGATTATCATGGACCAGTGCTTAGACTGAAGTACGTATGAGTTTTGGGAGCTTTTCAGCTCCAGTCCACTGTTCCTGTGACCTACCAAGGCTTTTATCTGCATACTTGACCCCAGGTTGTTCAAATAGACACAAATTTGACATCAGATGCCCTACCTGACACATTTATTCCTGACACTAGGAAAACTCCAGCTGTGACTCCTTGATGCTGAATTTGTGGCTCTTCTGAGTCTCAAACTGCAGAGCTGAGGCAAATGTGTTAACCACTACACAATGGTGTAAAAACCACTCGGCCAAATGTCACGAACCCAGAATTTGAACCAAAGACCATAAAATAACCTTTAATATTTGATGTGGACCAACATTTGGCTGATGCTCATTCGTTTCCATGACCTCACTGCAGTCTCTCCTGCTACACTGGTTTGCAGCTGTTTATCTGGACAAACCAACTAATGGAGGAAAACAGCATTAATGAGAATTACCTTTGGCTGGTTTCTCTGAACACAGTCCAGGTTTGTGCACTTTTAAACATAAACCTGCCTATTGCTGAAGCTCTGACAAATCTATTTTTATTTGTATCATATTATCAGAGTTCAAAAAAGGACACTAATGAGCATGTGCAGAGGTAACAGCGAGCAGCTGAGATGAAAAGGCCTTAGTATGCGTCAGCTCGTACTGCCGACGTTTGGCTTCTCTCTTTTGAATTGAATCCAAGTAAGACATGGATTCTTGTATTTGCAATAAAAAGCTGGTGTTATTATGGGTGACCTGTCGTATGTAATTGCACTTTGAAATGTGTATGTGAGTAATATTCACTCAGAATCCTCGAGAGTAAAGGCCAAAACTCCCAAAGTAAGGCCCCATTTGTAGGAAAATTCTAGCGGTTTGATATTTCCGTGGACCTCCACGATGGAACCAGATGGAACTGATTGTGTTTCGCACCTTGAAAAGTCTCTCTCGTCCAAACGATCTCTGCGGACGATTTTGACAGTGTACACAACTCTACGGGGACGGCACCAACCGGTGTGCGCATAGACGCAATACTGTGTTTAACAACAGCTGGATAATGGAAATGCATGTGTGTGCTAGTGTGTGTGAGTGTATTAAACATGGGCAATAGCAAAGCACTGGTGCTTCCATCCATGTATATGAGCTAATGTAGAAAAGGCACAGGCAGCGTGGCCTGTTATCTGATCCTGCCCTCGACAATCCTCCTTTTCACTTTTACTGTTACTAACAAAGAATCTGCAATATCCTCTCGGACACAGACGATCTGAGTCACCGAGTTATTTTTAAGCTTCTACGTTACAGATCTGGAATTTCTTTTCTCTGAAAAATTTGAATGACTGATTTGTAGTGTGTGTGTGTGTGTGTGTGTGTGTGTGTGTGTGTGGAGTAGATACACATAGTAGGAGGTGGTGATTAACTCTGATCAGTCCCTATAACACCAACATGTGCTCTCAAGCAGAGACATTCCCAAACTGTGTGCCCGTGCTTTGGAACATTTTATGACACAGCGATGAAGGTGAGCTGTATGCTGTCATCTGCAAAGATCTTCTACTGGGTTTTTGTCTTTCTTTTGTTGTTTTGTGTGCAAATATCTGAATATTTCAGCTTAGATGTGTGGTGATGATGTGAAGTGCTACCGATACAATGGCTTCCTCTTTACCAGTCCGTTTGAAAGCGACTGAAACAATAATATTGGCCCTGCACTGTTGATTAGCCAAAAATCTGAAGCCATGGACGAATGGAAACCGTGGATGCTTCTAATGTGACTCCACAGCCTCTCAAACACACATAATAGAGATGTCTTGCCTGCCAGATTATTTCTTCACAGCCATCTAGACCTGGCATCTAGAAAACCCTGCAACCCCTACGTGCACTCTCTCGGCTGATTTTGCAGACTGTTTTCATGTCTTTCTTCCATACAGTGCTTACATAATTTAATAATCCCTCTTCTTTATGCCAACCATGTGGTGAACCAAAGCTCAGCTGTAGCTAGCATGAAGCTTTTCCAGTTGGCTACTTCAGTTATTACAGTACGTACGGCTGTGGGCCACTGGTTTGGAATGCCTGTGTTCTTCTGTTATGCACTGGCTTTGCCCTTAATGATTAATATATGAATATAAGTATATATATACCCTTGCTTTGCTCAAACCAGCCTTCCTCACAAATGTAAATATTGTCCCTTGGTTTTAACTTTTATTGCAGATAGGGGAGAACTCGTGGAAGTGCTGTACTCTGAGTTATCTCGCGGCTTTTCAGTGTCATCCCCGGGCTGTGATTGTGCGGCACGAAAAAAGGGGAGGCAAGGCGGTGGGTAATGCCAGTAAAGCAGCGTGACAGAGGAGGGTTAATACCATCGAGCTGTGCTAAGATTGCCCAGCCTCGCTTGGCTTTAAGGGATTGCAGGCAGTATTAGCAGCTGAATAATTATTTTTGCTATGTTTCTCCTTGTGTGCACACTTTCAGTGTGGCTCATATTCATTCATTCAGCCCAACCCCCACGCCCCAATGCTCTTCTTTTAGGCTCGAGAGCCTGGAGTCTTGTAAAAAACGTATATTTTTGAGTCCTGTGCAGGCAGAGTTCAAGCTCTGTTTTAACTTGAATGTGCTTCATATCTTTCACGTAGAGCCCAGTGAAGGAACGACTAGTCGGAATTGCACATTTAGCACTGTGACAGAGAAGAAAGAGAGATTGATAACGTAGTGCTTTTTCATCGTCGCTGGAGTGAAAAAGTGACGCTTCCACTATGTTTGTATACAGGGTTACAAGTGTCCCCTTAATGCTGTTAAAGAGACGTCATATATGACTGTACATATATGATGAGTATAAATATAAGGCATCTATTTTTGACAGTCTTTGTGGTGTGGGCAGAAGTCGTACGAATAGGAAAAACATATAGGTTGGAGCCAACGTGCATCCTCGCCGTGCTCAACGATGAGTCTGTGTTTGCAACTTTTTTCTGTAAAGCTTCTCTTCACGTTTGGATTTTTCTTTTTGTATGCTGCACTGAAAATACGTCATTTTCACAAGTGGTTTGGAAAACAGAAGTGTCAGTCACTTCATCCAGTGAAATATTATAGTATACAGTAGAGTAGCTGTTGCATTATTTGTTACGAGCTGTATGTAATGTTATTATGGAAGATGTAATGTCCTTCTGTAAATGTTGTTTAATGTTTTACCTGAAATAAAAATTTATTAATGCTTCAGATGCGTCTGTGGGTCACATATCATTTGTTCTTACGTTCACACAGAAAAGTTGACACGTGGTGTCTCTGCATACTTAAACACAGCCTAGTGCCGTGTCTCTTTAGAGTCTTTTGACCTTTTGGCCACACAGAAAAGTGACACTGATCAACCAATCAGTCAGTCACTTAGGCTAACATTATAATGTCCCAGAAATACTGAAGAACCAGCAGCAAAGCAGATATAAAGTTCACATCAAGTTCAACGAAGCAACAAAGTCTGCAAAGCATTTAGAGAGATAAAAACAAGAACTTCCTTGTGACTAGGAAAAGTTGGTGGTTGTCCAGTAGCTGGACTGAAGGTTTTTTTTGCTAGTTGCTTCGACCAACCTGTCCCCCAGAGGTCTGGTATGCAACCAGCCAATGGGCAACCATTTTCAGTCACAAAGCAACTGCACAGGTTAGAATCTAGGATCTATCTATGCCCCTCCCCAGCCTGGTGCTGTCGGAGGTTTCTTCCTGTTAAAAGGGAGTTTTTCCTTCCCACTGTCGCCAAAGTGCTGCTCATAGAGGGTCATATGATTGTTGGGTTTTTCTCTGTATGTATTATTGTAGGGTCTACCTTACAGTATAAAGCGCCTTGAGGTGACTGTTGTTGTGATTTGGTGCTGTATGAATAAAATAAAATGGAATTGAATAGATAAAAATCTGATTACTCAACATTACCTTCCTAAAACAGTACGTGTCTTATTCCATATATGTAGTTAATAACCAAAATTCTGAATTTTGATTTTCAAAGGAGGAACAGAGGACCGTGTGTGTTCCTCTTCTGATTACACCCAGTACTGTAAAGTATATGCTGTACAGAGAGAGAAAATAAAGCAGTCGCCTGTGCATGCGCAATTATTAGAGTTGACCTTTTTTTAGCTGCTCTCAGCAAACACCATTTCCCACAAACTCTAAGCATTTGCAGGTCAACGCTGCAGAATTACTGTAATGACCAGTTTCTATCTTGAAAACAGTGTGTGTAATATCATCTGATTCATAATTACAACTGGGAATCTGGGACTTAATAGCACAGCTGGATTTGTAGTTATGAGCGTAGTTACAAATGTCACTGGGATTTTGAATGAGGTTTGAACAGAACCCAGAAGATCGTATTCCACTTTGGCTCTGTGCACGAGTGCAGTGCTAGAGCACTACTCTAACTTAAGATACAAAGCTAATTACATTGCAATGGTGGCTGCTTTAGTTAAAGTTAAATAAATGAATCCCCCAGGATAGATTTCATTTCATTGCAGATTTCCATGTAATAGCAACTGCCTGTGTCTCTCTAGTCTACAGCACATACAGTATAAAAACATATTAATATTGACATATTATTTCTCTAGACTTTCTACATCATCACTGGATAGTTTTCAACATTTCTGATATAGACTTTAGTGATACTGCTACAGATAGAGCTTTAAAATAAAAGACAAGCAGAACATCTGGTGACACAAGTCTGCGTGAAGCTCTCATCGCACTCTCAGTGCAGCCCAAGCAAGAAAATCTAGCATTCCTATGTCAGTGTGCATTTTACAGTGCTCGCTCCTCTCCTCCTGCTAACAGCCTGCAGTGCCAGATGGGAAACCTTTCTCTCATTTTGTCTGCGTTAAGGATCGTATGTATTTTTCCACCTTTAGCTAATTCCTCCCTCTTGTTCAGTAATAATCAAAGTCTTTGAGTAAATGCTGAGTATAAGAAGTTATGTCTGTGACTACAAACTGTCTGCATGTGGAACAACAATGCTGCACGCTCGATTTCAGGGCAGAAGAGTCCAACTTATTCCATTAACCCTACAGAAAAAGGAAGTGTTTTAGTTTTACAGGAGCAAATACAACATATTTATATACGTGTAATACATGAGGTGCATCAGGGAAAACAGTAGAGTAGAAAAATGAATGCATGAATGAATGCTTTTCATATTAGAGGGCAGTACAGACAAGCTGAAAACCCAATATGGACATGGAAGAAAATATACTTTCTTCTTCTCTGTTTTAATCCAGTAGTTCTTAAACAACATCAGCAATCAAGCTCACTCTGAGATTCAGCTGCCCTGAGGAATCAAAGTCCAGCACTCAGTCTCCTGAGGTAAACATCTGTATTAGATGTCTTTGTCAGCTGTTTGTTCAAGGTTCAAGGCTCTTTATTATTTGTCACATGCATAGTTATACAAGTATAACACACAGTGAAATGTAGTCTGACACGCTCCTCGACATGTGCAAAAATTGGGGGGGGGGGGGGGGGGGGTGTAGAGGAAGAACATTATATATATATATATATATATATATATACAGACATATAGTATATACACTGGGTGAATGTGCAGTAGTAGCAGCAAGCAGGTGAATTCTGTACATTAATATGAATAGACATCTGACTATTTTACAGGATAGACAATATAATGTAATGGCTCTAAAACAAACAAACAAAAAACACTACAATTTGTTGTGACCTATACCCCTATGAGCAAGTGCTTTGCAAGACATTGACCACAAACTGCTAAGGCATGTAAAGAGAGACTACAAGCAAACAAAGTAAAGAGGAAGGGAGCCAACACTCAGAAGGACACTTGATTCGGTCTTTTAATGTGTGCAGCGCTGTTCCAAAACGAACCCCTGCAATTTATGCAAACATGAGGAAAAATGCAGACCCTCCCTAACCTCCATCTCTTAGATCCTACAGAGAGAGAGAGAGAGGGAGAGAGAGGTATTAAGCTATTGAAGGTGACACGGATGTAGATAGGAAGTGCGTCAGTACAAAAGTATGTGTGCCAAAGTAGAAACCAGAGTTCAGCTACGTGTTTTTTTTTGCATCTATTAAAATATAAAGTACTTTAACCTCTATGTGTATTATATTCCTTTTATTTGGTACTTTTACTGTGCGTTTAATCTGCTCTCTAAATTATCATAACTTAACCATTTCATTTTGAATGACTTTCTAGAGAAGGCAGCATATTCAAAAAAAATGATAAAATGTAATAAATACAAAATCAGAACCAAAGGGGGATAAAGTCAAGATAATGAAATTTTTCCCATCCAGATTAAAATAGTCTGCGTATTAGTTTTTAAGCTCACAAAGCTGCTCAAGCTACAGTTGTATTAAAGGCTTTTATTGTGAAAGTTTATCGCGGAAGTAATAATGACTGGCGGTTAGCTTGGCTGCAGTGGCATTAGAGTGAGGGATCGCAGAACAGGTTTGAACGGCAGACTGACGCTGTGTCGGGCACGCTGCAGATCGGAGCTGTCCTTGTCCTGGAGGATTAGAGTTCGGGCTTGGTTTTGGACTGGATTTCACCCGAGGAGGTCCGAGTTTGCGATTCACGAGTGTGGATGTTCTAACGCACTGCGCTGCTACCTCGGCGCGGCGACGAGAGGGAGGACGGACAGCCAGAATCCCGCGGCGAGAAGCGGCGCTTACCTCTGCGAGAAACGCCAACAAAGAGCGTTCAGGGAAGTAGCCTGCTACCTGCTGAGGTAACGCAAGTTAGTTAAGCAACACGCAGAAAGTACGGCAGCGTCTGCATTCCTCAACATGGCTTACAACAGACTTCTCCGCTCGGCTTTGCTTTTTCTGTTTTTTATCCTGTTCCTGAACCTGGGGATTTTTCGAGTCAACGGCCAATACGGCGGCAGTGACCGAGGATTGTCTATACCGGAGCACGGATTCTGTCAGCCCATTTCCATCCCCCTGTGCACGGACATCGCCTACAATGAGACTATCATGCCGAACCTGCTGGGCCACACCAACCAGGAGGACGCGGGGCTGGAGGTCCACCAGTTCTACCCGTTGGTGAAAGTGCAGTGCTCCCCGGATTTAAAGTTCTTCCTGTGCTCCATGTATGCCCCCGTGTGCACGGTGCTGGAGAAGGCGCTGCCCCCGTGCCGCTCTCTGTGTGAGCGCGCGCGGCAGGGCTGCGAGGCGCTCATGAACAAGTTCGGCTTCCAGTGGCCCGACAGCCTCGCGTGCGATAGCTTTCCGGTCCACGGCGCGGGGGAGCTGTGCGTCGGCCAGAACATGTCGGACCACACGGAGCCCCAGCCCGGGCCCTACTCCACCGAGCGGCCACCTACTGACCCGGGGAACGGCCAGTTCAGATGCCCGGCCTCGCTCAGGGTGCCTCCCTACCTGAACTACCGCTTCCTCGGGCAGGAGAACTGCGCCGCGCCGTGCGAGCCGAAGAGATCCCACGGGATGATGTACTTCAGCGAGGAGGAGCTCAAATTCGCCCGCATATGGATCGGCATATGGTCAGTGCTGTGTTGTGCTTCCACTTTATTCACGGTGCTCACCTACCTGGTGGACATGAAGCGCTTCAGCTACCCAGAGAGACCCATCGTCTTCCTTTCTGGCTGCTACACCATGGTTTCCATCGCCTACATTGCTGGATTTTTACTGGAGGACAAGGTGGTTTGCAATGACAAGTTTGACAACGACATAAAGACTGTGGTGCAGGGCACCAAAAAGGAGGGCTGCACCATCCTCTTCATGATGCTGTACTTCTTCAGCATGGCCAGCTCGATCTGGTGGGTCATCCTGGCTCTCACCTGGTTCCTGGCAGCAGGAATGAAGTGGGGCCACGAAGCCATCGAGGCCAACTCTCAGTATTTCCACCTGGCGGCCTGGGCCGTTCCTGCCATCAAAACCATCACCATCCTGGCAGTAGGTCAGGTGGATGGAGACGTGCTGAGTGGGGTTTGCTTTGTGGGCATCAACAGCGTGGACGCCCTGCGCGGCTTTGTTCTGGCGCCCCTCTTCGTATACCTGTTTATCGGCACCTCCTTCCTTTTGGCCGGATTCGTGTCCCTGTTTCGAATCCGAACCATCATGAAGCACGACGGCACCAAGACGGAGAAGCTGGAGAAACTGATGGTGCGGATAGGCATCTTCAGCGTGCTCTACACCGTGCCGGCCACCATCGTCATCGCCTGCTACTTTTACGAGCAGGCCTTCAGAGAGCAGTGGGAGAGGACGTGGATCAG